TAATCTGTTCTTAATCCCAGCACTGAATTTTTCATCTCAGGCAATTACATCTTTCATCTCTGGAAGTTCAGTTTGTATCTTTTAAAAATATGGACCTATTTTGGACCCTGAGGAGGAAGTCCTGTTCCATAGTGAAATAGTCAAGATGGAAGAGGTCTGAGTTCTTAATGACATTGTAAAGTTACATATCACATAATTTGTTTTTTCTACCTTTGAAATTTCTTGTTGCCAGAATTTCAAGAAATCTTATCTTATTTCAGCCATTGCTATTTTAAATATAATTCTTAATTGAGGGTGTCCCTAACTAATTCCTTATAGGAGAGGAGAGAAAAGGAAGGGGTAGGCAGCTGTGTGTCTGAGTAACTTACTAGTCAAGGATTACATATTTTCATATGCCTCCCTCATGTCTCTAAGTTTTTAAATTATTTCAAGAGCACATTACAGTTTAAAAAAAAGTTTGAATATATTAGCTAATTTGATTCCTTTAGCATCTATTAGTAGGCCAGGAGAGAGAATATGGTACAATTTTAGAAGTGAGAAGACTAAACATTGAATGGTACAATGACTGCAGTAAACACTCAGCTAGTTAGTGGGAAATGTCAGATGAAGGTCTACTTTTCTCCACCTAATCCAGTGTGTTATCCTAGATTATAAAAACCTTTTAAATCCATCTATCTTGATGGAATTTCCTGTGGAATGGTTGGGTTGGAAACATTTGACAGAACTACTAGATCCTGATTGTTCTATTTGTCATTACAGCAAAAAGGTGAACCATGCCTAAGAAGGCCAACAGGATTAAGCCTAGGAGCCAGAAGACAAGAAGACGGAAAAAGGGTATTCCATGGATTGTACGCATCTTCAGCCACCAATGCTATGTTGCTGCCATTATTGGCTGCTACAGCTGCCACTGGAAAGTCAAACAGGAGAAAAAATCTGAACTTGGATCCTGCTGCTGCTCTTGGGTACAGAGAGATGGGAGGGAGCTGGACCACATCTTCTTAGATCTGGGAGCATGGGCTGGTTCCTGTCCCCATGAGGGCTCGTCAGAGTCTTCAGGACTGGGCATGCCAGGGCTCTAGTTCTTCTATGAAAGGGCTGCCACAATTCTGGAGCCAGAGTTAACTTTGCTGAAACATGTGCTTGTTTTCTTCATTCTCTTTCATATTCATTCTTCATTTCTCCTCTTTATTGTCATTCATTTATTTAATTATTCAACTTTCCTTTTGTGAATAAATGAACCTTAAAGAAAAAGTGAGGTTTAGGTAACATTAGACGTTTTTGGCTAGGGAGTAGAAGAGTGCCTGAATCTTTAATTCTCTCTTCAGTGTAAGTTTCCCAAAAGAGTTACACTATGAGAAGAAATAGCAAGTGGGAAACAGGATGCTCCTTTATTTTTGATCAGGCTGACACCTGACTTTCCCTAAGTGGAGATCACTGATAAGGCTGAGTGGTGGCATGGTATGTGGTCAAGCCTCATTGAGGGCCTCTTTCTTTCTTTAAGCCATATGTTGGGACCCTTTGAGGGCTGTATGATGTAAGACACCAAATGCTGCACACACTGAAGTGGGAAGAAGAAGGCCACGTCATGACTTTCACTTAATCATAAACTTAGAATAGCTAGGGTCTGAGATTCTGACCAATTGGATCACAAGTTTCTAATGTCTGAGGTGGGGAACACAAAGAAAGCAGTGGAAATGGAAGTCCTCCCTGGATTAAGCAGGGTGTTCTTCTGTCCCTGTATCTTTCCTGCTCAGATATTTGGCTTCTAAGTGGGGATAACACAGGTGCCTCAGGCATAGTTCCTGCTCTCAAGGAATTCACAGTCTACTGGAGGAAAAGACAAGTACACACTTAATCTCAATACAGTGAGAAGGGTTATAATTGTGTGTATGTGTCTATGCGTTTACATGCAGTCACACGTCCATGTGCAAGGGAAGGGCTGAAAATAACTTCATTTAGAAGGTGAAAGGTGATTAAGAATTGGATAGGTAAAAAATAGGGGATGGCAGAAGAAATGGTATTGGAGGAGGAGTCAGAGGGCGTTGGTGTAAGGTTTATTTTAAGTGGAGCAGAGGATATGTATGAATGGAGAAATGATGGGAAGTGAAACTGGAGAGGGAGATGGGACAGATATTGTGTGGTTTTAAGAGTTTGACTTCCGCCATGTAGGGCATAAAGAATCCCTAAGGATTTTAAGCTACTGATGTTGCCTGAGTGATGTTCTGGAATGATCCTGTGGAAGATGAATTGAAAGGTACAAGAGTAATTCAGGGAGATGTCTTTGTCTTCAAAGAGAAAGGAATAATGGTAGTCAAGGTAAGAGATGTTGCTGTCCTGGACTAGAGTAGTGATGAGAAAAATGGAGAAAAGTAAATTGATTCAACAGATATTTATTACTTAGGGATGATATAGTAAGTCACAAGAGAGCTATAAAAAGGACATAGAGTGAAAGATGAAGGGAGGCTTCATGGAAAAGTTGACATTCCTGGTAGTGCGGTATAATGGAACACTCCCTAGACCAGAGCGTGGGAATACGTTTTGGTCCTTGTTCCAGCTCGGCCTTTGGGCTGCTTAAGTGACATCTCCAAGCCTCTCTACAACTAGAGAATTGCACTACATAATTCTCAAGGTTTCTAAATAATTCTCAAGGCCTCATTTCTGCATAGTATATAACAAAAGAGGGGAGATCATTTGTTCTGGGGAAAGACTTCCTGGATTTATGGCTTCACCACTGACTCTCTCCAAATTAGAGCTTTACTGTTACGGAACTTAGGCAAGTTACCTAACATTCTGGTGATTGATTCCTCATTAGAATGATGGAAGTGGTAACAGTAGTACTCACCAACAGGATTTGTTACGAGAAAAGAAGAGGCAAGATGTGGAAAACACTTAAAATTGGGCTTACACACAGTTAGCACTCAAATGTTAGCTATTACTGCTACTGTTCTTGGAGAGCCTGACTTGTGGAAGTCGTCTTCCACATGTAAGAATGATGGTGCAGGGAATTTTGGGTAGAGGAAATAAGGTGGGGAAAGTCCAGAGATAGAGAAGCACAGTGGTGTGTTTAGGGGAAAACAAATTTCCAGTGTTGAACTTAAGGACAGGTAAAGTGATAAATGATAACTGATAGGGTGGTAAAGGAATATTTTAATCAAACTATGAAGCAGCTTTATTTCAAGCTAAAATATTTGAACTTTGTCCTATAAGCAGTGAGGAGCTTTTGGACATTTTTGAGCAAGAGTGGCAACAGTGAGAATCAAAATTAGGAAATGGATTCATTCAACAAAAACAAGTTTATTGAATGTGTGCCACACCGAATAAGACCACTAAGGCCTCTGGCCCTCCTGCAGTGGGACGAGTTAGGTAATACACAGTAATGAAGAAAGGTGGTTTCATTTAGTGATGAGAGCTTTGGAGATAGTACATAGGAAAATGTGCTAGGTGGATGGGAGAGTGGTTAGAACAGACTTTTTTGAAATAGTGACATGTGAGCAGTCTCTTACATGAAGAGGTAGAGCCAGCCATGTGTACATCTCAGGGCAAAAATATTCCAGGCAGAGGAACCAGGAAGTACAAAGCTCTTGAGTTGGAAACAGATTTGGTCATGTTCTAGAAACAGAAAGAAGATCAGTGTGGCTGGAGTTCATAGATGGAGTCAGTGTGTAGAAGGGGATGTGGTGAAGGATGTGCACGGTTGATCATGTAGGCGCTTTGGGCCATGGCAGGCAGTTTGGATGATGTTCTGGTACAGTCAAAAGCTCTGGGAGGGTTTTGGGCAGGGAGTGACTTTATCTGATACATATTTTAAAAATTGACACATGTTCTGTAGAGAATGAGTATAAACCAGAGTCAGATCCTGTGTTTTTCATCTTCCTACACTCAGGAAGTGGTGGTTTAGTGCCTTATTGCCTATAATATCTTTTATCAGACTGGTTATGTCAATACCCTGTCTATGTTTACCATTTTACTTTTTTATTCTTACTTTCACAATAACCCCATATTTTCGAGAAGGCAGGGATTATTCTACCCACATTTTAGAGATTACAGGATCCCAAAGAGAATTTCTCATTATATGATGTAGAAATGTTAGATTATAACTCAGGTAGCAACCCAAATGTAATGCTCCTGGGAAGGAGTTGATAACTTCTGGTTTGGCTGGTGTGTGATAGGATTTTCAGTGACGGAGGCTATCTTCAAGTCTCAGTTTGCACAAGTTCTCCATAAAGATATCCTCCATCCTGGCTTTGAGCTCACAGACATGGACAGTGCCCCTGCCAATTCTTGGCTGAGTGACTTTGAGTCAATTACCTTACCTCTCTGAGATTTAGTTCTTTTTTCTGCAAAATGAGGTTAAAATACCTAACTTACGAGGCTACACTGAGAAATAAAGCAAATGAAAGTAGCTTGTGAAGTCCCTGGCATTGTATTGGTGTAAAATAGCTAGTCAAAAAAAGATTTATTCCCTAACCTGCTTCTTCCTTCCCCCAAATGTGGGTAGATAAATGACTAAATGAACTGATGAATGATGAATGAATGAATCACTCAATAAATGAACAAACATTAGGTACATGGAGAGGTGGATGAATTCAACAGATGATTATTGAGAGCCAGTTACATTTAAGGAACTGTGCTAGATATGGGCAATACAGAGATGTGTAACGGAAGTTCCTTTTCCTCAGAGAAGAAACTCACATCAGGTACAAGCATGTAAACATATAATTGTAATTCATTGTGTAAATGTTATATATGTAGCCTTATACAAAATTCCATAGGGGTAAAAGAATACAGTGGTCACTCTAACCTGGGGAGGGTAATGTAGAGCTGCAATTATACGGACCTTTGGTGAGTATATACAGATGTCACCGAGGTACCATGGATAAATGGAGCTAAATTAGACTTTCTTCTTTCTCTTCCCAGAGGGAGCTATTATTTTACCCATGGCTGCTTACTGCACTTTGCGTGTCTGTGCTTTTGCTGTTCGTGTGGGTAGAATCCTCAAATGAATACAATGGCTTTGATTGGTGAGTTTCACATTTTGTATTTTCTTTTGTGTAAGGGCTATTTGGTCTAATAGCCACATGGATCCTACCTCAAGTTCAAAAGATCTGGTGGTATAAAAGGGAGGGTGGACAAAACCGGGCTTTCTACAGCTGGGGGATGAGAGGCCTGAATCTGAGGAGGGGTAAGGATGCTCAGCACCCTCAGCTCTTATACTTCCCTTCCACCTGTGCTCACCCTCACAGTTAGACCAAATCTGGCTCAGTGGGGAACTTTCTCTGTGCTTCCAGTTTCCCAGTCCTTCTATTCAGGTGACTCCCTGACACCTTGTTTCTCAGTCTTCTTGTCTGAAGTACTGATGCCTACATTAGTTGGTCTTCATGATCTCTGTCCATGAACCCTGATGTCTCTGCCTCACCTCTAGCCCCTGCTTCTTCCTTCTGTCCTTAGGGGCTTCCTAAAACTCTGAAGACAGAAATGGTGTCCCATCTCAGCAGCTTTTCTGGCCTAGTTCCTACTCTGGACTACTCCCAGCTCTTTCAATTTCTCTTGTCTGATTGCTGCAAATCTTACACATTATTTGGTATTTAGGGGAGAAAAGAGTATATTTGAGTATGAGGCTTTTTAAAAAATGAAATACAGTTTATTTTTCCTTTCATAGAAGTAAAATGTAGTTTTTTTTAATGTTAAAAAATACTGAAAGGTAGAACATATTAAAATGCACTTAGTCTTATTCTTGAGTGACTGTCACTTGTTATATTTCCCAGTCTTCTATGCTTATTTTTATATTATTATGCTCATATCATTTATGTAATTTTGCTCTTTCTTTTCACTTAAAATAGTTGCAAACGTTTTGATAAATTGTTGAAACTTAATGAACATGATTTAAAATGATGTAAAAATATTTCCTGTTAAAAAGGTGGTCTGATATACTTACTTAGCCACTTTTTATTGGTAGGCATTATGAGTGTTTCCAGTTTTTCTGTTTTTATACAATAAGAACACAGAGAAATCTTTGGGTTCTGATTTATGTTGTTATAATAGATTCCTGCAAGTGGTGTTACCAAGTCAAGAAGAACAAACACTAGTAAAATTCATTATGCCTGTTGCCAAAGTACTTTCTCAAAAGATTTTAGCATTTTCCATTCACAATAGAGGTATATGAGTTTTTATTTTAACCTGCTATTGACAGCCTTAACTATTCTAGTTTTGAATCATTTTAATTAATTTTCTAGATGGAATTTGTTTTGTTTTAATTTGATCTTTGGTTAAGTTTCACAACTGGTTTATTTAACTTTTTTTTTTTAGTTTTATTCCGTTAACTTTATTTTGTGTGATCTTTACTAATTTTTCATAAATTTATATATAATCTTTATTTATGGACAAGTTTTAAATTATTCCACAGCACTTGAAATACAAAAATATTTCATTTTGAAGTAAATTTCATCTCAGTCTTTAAAAACTTTTTAAGATGAAATTGATGTATAACATGATTTTAGTTTCAGGTATACAACATAATAATTTGGTATTTGTATATGTAGTGAAATGATCACAGTAAATCTTTTTTAACATCTATCACCACACATAATTACAATTTTTTTCTTGTGATGAGAACTTTTAAGATCAGCTCTCTTAGCAATTTGCAAATATATAATGCAGTATTATTAACTGTAGTCACCATGCTGTCATGGTGTCATGACGCCCATGAGTTATTTATGTAGTAACGGAAAGTTTGTAACTTTTGACTGTCTTCACTCATTTCATCTGTCACCCACCCTAACCTCTGGTAGCCACCAATATATTCTGTCTATGAGCTTGTTTTTTTGTTTTTGTTTTTGTCTTTAGATTCTACATGTAAGTGAGATTATTTGATATTTGTCTTTCTCTGTCCGATTTACTTGGCATAATGTCCACACGGGTTCATCAAGGTTGTCACAAATGGCAAGATTTCCTCCTTTTTTGTGGCTGAATTATATTCCATTGTATATACATACCATATATTTTTTATCCATTTGTCAGTGACTGCTTAAGATTGTTTCTAAATCATGGCTATTGTAAATGATACTGCAGCAAACATAGACTGTACGTATATTTTTTCCAGTTAGTGTTTTCATTTTCTTTGGATAAATACTCAGAAGTAATATTGCTGGATCGTATGGTAGCTCTGTTTAAATTTCTTTTTAGGAGCCTCCGTACCGTTTTCCATAGAGCCGCACTTGTTAAATTCCCACCAATAGTACACAAGAGTTCCCTTTTCTCCTTATCCTCGCAGATACTTGTTATATCTTGTCTTTCTGATAATAGCCATTCTAACAGGTGTGAGGTGATATCTCATTGTGATTTTGATTTGCATTTCCCTGATTGTTAGTGATGATGAGCACCTTTTTATGTACCTGTTGGCCTGTGTGTCTTCTTAGGAAAAATGTCTATTCAGGTCCTCTGCCAAATTTTTAATTGGATTGTTTGTTTATTTGCTATTCAGTTGTATGAGTCCTTTATATATCTTGAATATTAATTGCTTAATCAGATATATGATTTGCAAATATTTTCTCCAATTTGGTAGGTTTGCCTTTTTATTTTGTTGATGATTTCCTTGCTGTGCAGAAGCTTTTTAGCTTGATGTGGTCCCACTTGCTTGTTTTTGTTTTTGTTGCCTTTGCTTTTGGTGTCAAATCCAAAACAATCATTGCCAAGACTGATGTTAAGGAGCTTACTTCCTGTTTTCTTCTAGGAGTTTTATGGTTTCAGGTTTAATGTTCCAGTCTTTAATCCATTTTGAGTTGATTTTTGTGTGTCGTGTAACATATTGGTCAAGTTTCATTATTTTTCATGTGGCTGTCCAGGTTTTTCAACACTGTTTATTGAAGAGACTCTCCTTTCCTCATTGTATATCCTGGTTCTTCTCTCTTTTGCTGTCAAATAATTGACATATATACATGGGTTTATTTCTGGTCTCTTTATGGTATTCCATTTATCTGTGGTGCTTCCAGCTTTGTTCTTCTTTCTCAATATTACTTTGGCTATTTGGGGTCTTTTGTTATTCCATAAAAATTTTAGGATTGTTTGTTCTATTTCTGTAAAAATTGCCATTAGAATTTTGATAGGGATTGCATCAAATCTGTAGATGGCTTTTGGTAGTATGGAAATATTAACAAGATTAATTCTTCCAATCCATAAACATGAGGTATCTTTCTGTTTTTTTGTGTCTTCAATTTCTTCATCAGTGTCTCATAGTTTTCAGTGTATAGGTCTTTCACCTCTTTGGTTAAATTTATTCCTAAGTATTGTATTGTTGATAATGATATTGTAACTGGGATTGTTTTCTTAATTTCTTTTTTATATATTTATCATTGTATAGAAATGCAACAGATTTTTGTATATTGATTTTGTATTCTACAACTGTACTGAATTCATTAATTAGATCTAATGGAGTCTTTAATACTTTCTATATATAAAATCATGTCTTCTTCAAATAGAGAAAGTTTTACATCTTCCTTTCCAATTCTGATACCTTTTTTTTTTTTTTGCCTGATTGCTCTGGCAGGACTTCTAGTACTATGTTGAAAAGGAGTGGTGAGAGTGTGCATTTTTGTCTTATTCCTGATCTTAGAGGATAAGTTTTTCACCTTTCACCATTAAGATGTTAGATGTGGGCTTGTCATGTGTGGCCTTTAATTTGTTGAGACATATTCCTCCTACATCCAGTTTGTTGAGAATTTTAATCATGAATGGAGCCAGAATTTGTCAGATGCTATTTTTATGTTTATTGAGATGACTGAATGATTTTTATCTTTCTATTAATGTGATGTATCACTTTTATTGATATATGTGTAGAACCATCCTTGTGTTACAGGGACAAATTCCACTTGATCATGGTGTATGATCCTTTTAATGTGCTGCTGTATTCAGCTTGCTAGTATTTTGTTATAAATTCTCACATCTGTAGGGTTCATCAGGGATATTGGCCTGTAGTTTCATTTCTTGTAGTATCCTTATCTGACTTTTATATGAGGGAAATGCTGGCTTTGTAAAATGAATTGTGGAGCATCTTCTCATCTTCAACTTCTTTGTAAGAGTTTGAGAAAGATTAATATTAATTCTTTAAATGTTTAAAATGTACTAGTGAAGCATTCGGGTCCTGTGCTTTTCTTTTTCAGGCAGTTTTGATTACTGATTCAATCTCCCTCCTCACTATTTGTTCAGAATCTCTTTATGATTCAATCTTGGTAGGTTGTATCTTCTAGAAATGGAGCCTTTTTCTCTTGGTTGTCCAAGTTTTTGGCATATAGTTGTTCATAGAAGTCCTTTCTGTTGTCTCAGTTGTAATGACTCCTTTTTCATTTAAAATTTAATTTAAAATGGGGTCCTCTTTTTTTTTTTTTTGGTTAGTCTTGCTAAAGTTTTGTCAATTTTGTTTATTTCATAAAGAAAGAAACTCTTAGTTTTGTTAATATTTTCTGTTGTTTTCCTAATCTCTATTTCACTTATTTACTGAATAAACAAGCTCTTGAATGAAGAGAAGTCCTTGAGGAAGGACCTTGGTATGCAAAAGGACCTGACTGTATAAAACTGTTTATTGTCAGTCTTATTCCCAGTCCCCCCTACCCCCTCCTTGCCCAAAGAACCTCTGGACATTTACCATGGTGGTTGTGCATTGAGGAAGAAGAAATACTTTTAGGGGAATTACTGGGCACTGACTCTGAACTGACACAAAATCCTGGAGATATGAAACAGCACTGTGATTGACTAGGCAGAGTAATCACTAGAGATAGGTAGTCAATGGAGTTTTTTTCAGGCTTATCTCTACAGTTGGGTCCCCAAACCAACCCTGTGGTTATTTCTCTAGTTCTCAAATGCATAGTTGAAATAAACATACTTGGAAGTAGGCAGAATCCCCGCAGCAATCAAGTAAAAATTATAAATGTAAGAATGAGCTCCCACTGTTCCTAAAGCCACAAGTGAGTTTCATGGACAATTGTCCATGGCTGCTGTAGCAAATTACCACAAATTCAATGGCCTGAAG